TAACGTCAGCACCACTGAAGTAGACCGCACCGTTTCATCTTCAGGTTTCACAGCTAATGCCTGCAAAGCTGCTCTCTTTGCATTCACTGCCTCCTGTCTTTTCTGCGCCTGCTCTAACCACAATTTAGCGGACGCCAGTTGTAACTCTCGCTCCTGTTTCAATTTCCCTGTCGCACAGGCTGCTTTCACTGTCAACTGGTCTACTAACATTTGACATTGTCCTACAACCAATTTACCTTCAAAATCATATTTCTTGCGCCAATGTCCTAAATACTTTGTGCTACCGGGAGCGAATTTCATCATAAACTTCTCATCACCCTCTGGCACACTCTTGGTTGCTTGAGAACCCATAATAACAACAACAACAGCTGACGTCACACACCACGCGTTCTGCTCTGCACACACTCACACAACAACAACAACAACAATGACAATAATGACAACAACAACAACACAAAATAGGCCTACTCCGGACTTGCACCGGACCGCTCGGGACCCTGACCCAGCTGTGGGACGCTCACCCACTCGCGCGACAAAACCCAATGAAGGGACGCTCGGGACACACACCCAGGGCGATTTCAAAACCGGACACACACCGGACGCTTGGGACCCTTGGGCGATTTAACCAAAACTTCTTTTTCGGGACACTAACCCAGCTCTGCGGTTATAGAGTCGCTCTCTCAACTTACTTGGTGTTGCTCATTGCGTGTAGCATCAGTCCCGAATCCCGTCAATCGCCATCCATCAAGGAGAAAAACAGACGGCTAATCCACCGGCCCGATGACGAATTCTCACGCCTCGGGACTTTGTTGCAGGACCACTATAAGTCCTGGCTGACGTCAGTCTTTCGGTGTGTCTCTTTTCCCCTTGGTGAATGTCGACTCCAGGGATCCGGCTCTCGAAGGACCAATTAATGATAGGTTTGTAACATAAACCTATTCGCTGGAACGTTAAGGACAATCTGCTACACAGCAAAAAGCAAGACTCAAGGCACCAAAGTTCTCTGGTTACTCATGCATGAGGGAGACCTGGCTGGAGCCAAGCGTCGTTCCACCACTTGACCTCTGTCAGACTCTCAGCCAGGTTTCCCCACAGCACTCCTTTTATTGTGGTTACATGAATATGCATAGGGTCATTAACATATAACATCTTACATAGGTATACATGTGAACAAAGAATACTGTGTGTGTGTGTGTGTGTGTGTGTGTGTGTGTGTGTGTGTGTGTGTGTGTGTGTGTGTGTGTGTGTGTGTGTGTGTCAAAGGTCATATAACAACATGAAAGCACGAAGGCAATCATCCTTGGTCAGGAAGAGGGTAGACTAGACCCCCCCGGTAAGGAAGTCCAGCAGTTCATCTAAACAGAAAAGCACTTAGACTAAAACAAATGTAGCTACGTTAATCCTACCATAAAACAATAAAACAAGATGCGACCTCTTCCCATGCCCCCAAGATGCAGGTGTGCATTCCAGTGTGGAATACACACCAAGCCTCTGTAGCCTGTTAAAGATCACACAACTTATCACTACACAATTGATTATACACCTCTAAGCATATATGATTAAATGTTTCCTAATACAAATGACAATAATAAAATCTAAACCCAACACCTGGAAAACATGTAATCTGGATGCACATGTTGCTCTAAAAGTTGCATATACCTTTCAGCATTGATGTGCAGCACACATCTGGTCTTTCCAGCTGTGAAAGCTGCCAATTACAATGGACCCCCATACTATCAGAGACACAGGTTCAAATTTTACATTTCAGTTCATCTGAACACAGAACAGATTTCCACTTTTGCCTCAGTCCATTTTAAATTAGCTTTGGTCCAAAGGACAAGACGGTAGCACAAGCTTATGTTTATGTTTATTTAAAGAGATCATGTCTATTAATTAACATGAGGACTTAAATTCATCATGTAAATATGCCAGATTTAGGCTAATTTTCATCGGCATACGGCTTCTTTTTTTGCATAGAAATGCTACTTTCGACTGCTCCCTCACTCACAAGGGGTCACAGGTAGCTTTGCTTGTTTGATTTCATAGATTCTTGCACTAGATTACCTTCCTAACCCAATCCCAAAAGGTTTTATGTCTCTCTGAAAATAACAGGTATTTAGTATTGATTCTCAACCCCTTGCACACAGAGATTTCTTCAAATTCTCATGTTTTGATTATGTTATTTGTTGTAGATATATAGATATTCACAATCTTCAAATTTTTACATTGAAGAACATTATCTTGAAATTGCTCCACAATTTGTAGACACAGTTTTGTTGAAAACTGGTAATCTTCCATCTGTCCTTTCTTCTGAGAAACTCTGTTTCTAAGAGGTTCTTTTTATACCCGGTCACGTTTCCTGTCCAATCACGGCTCATATCCGATCATACTGCCAACCTCTTGTAAATCAACCTAATTAGTAGCAAAATGTTGCTCCACGTGTTTCTTTTTAGTTCCACTTTTTGTTGCCCTGTCCCAACTGTTTTAAATAGTGTTTCTGCCATGAAATAAAAATGAGCTAATATTTATCATGAAGTAGTAAAACATCTCAGCTCAGTTTTCTATGGTCAATAAAATATAGGTATATGAGATTTGCAAATGATTTGCAAATGATTGCATTCTCGTTTTATTCACAATATCCACCTTTTTTGGAATTGGGGCAGTACTGAACTACTACTACAATACTACTGCTATAATAATAATAATAATAATAATAATAATAATAATAATAATAATAATCAAAAGAAGAAGAAGAAGAAGAAGGGTGAGGTGGGGTGGTCAGGATTATCTATGATGGATAATGGTATATTGCTCAGTGGCCTCTCCACAACAGCTTCAAACTTCCTAATCAGGTTATTTGGACTATAGCTGCCACTAGTGCAAATGCTACTCCCCCACATAATGACCTTATTACAAAAATAAGAGGAAGGCTTTCTTAAGGACATTTTGAAATGCTATTAATCTTGCATCTCCTTGCAAGCCATGCACGGCTCATTGGCTGATACCCCTGAATCAGGAGGTCAGCAATTAATGGAGGGCACCACCAATAAGCTCATAAAGAGATCAAATTAAGACTGAGCAGAACTGAGTGTAGCTTATTGCTGCAGCCCTCCTCCACAGTCCCAGTTTCTTATGTGACCCTTAGGGAAAATTAATTGCACATCCGCTGCCCTGAATGGAATTTAACCAACGTGTTTGAGCAACAGTTGTGTTTATTTCCACCCCAATAACTGGTTCGCATGATATTTAATCTGAGCATGGATGTTTACTGTAAATATTGTTCTTTTTTGTCCTGTCTGTCCCCTCACCCACAGCTGGTGACGACAGATGGCTGCCCCTTTCGGAACCTGGTTCTGCCCGAGCTTTCTCCCTGTTAAAAGGGAGTTTTTCCCTCCCACTGTCGCTAAGCGCTTGCTCCATTTGGGGGGGGGGGGGTCTGATTGGTGGGTAGTGGAGTTTTCTCTGTATTGCTGTAAGGTCTTTACCTTAAAATATAACGTGCTTTGAAATGACCGTTGTCGTGATTTGATGCTATATAGATCAAATTGAATTAAATGGAATTGAATTATTTAACTTTAAAGGCTAACCGATAATAAAATATAATATTAAATCTAACCGATGAAAAAAACAAAATGTAGATATCGAGCAGTGGAAATCATTGCATGATGACAAACAGTGACCGTGCAAACTCTGAGAATCCTTGCTCGTATGCATCCGAAGTGTTTTGCAGAGGGAGCCACTTTCTAGGAAAAAAGCATCTGGGGGACATGCTGTGGCGCCTGCGCACTGTGTAGTTAGAGTCAGTAGGGGTCAGCAAATCACTTGAAAATTGTTTCATCCCTTTACAGACACACTCCCGCTGTGTCTGTAGTCAGCTTTTGGTTAGGTGTTCAAGATGAAAGCCCAACATTAGCCTCCCGCTCTCCTTCCTTTTCTCATTAAATATTTTGAAATTATTTTAAATATGATTTTTTTAAACTACCGCCTCTGTGTAAGTTTAGAAATCTTATGGAAACAATGAATATTTTAATAAGTGTTTTACACACTATGATTTTCCAGTCTGTGCTTCGCAGACAGCCTCGCTGAAACACGCAGTCTTTTACACCTATTGTTAACTCAAGTATCTGCGTGAACACACCTCTTTTAACCGTTTGTAAAACCCAGATGGCGCTAAATGCCTGCGCAATATGAACAAAGTTCAGAGGTGAACACCACGACGCGACTGCGCTTTATTTTTATGGCCAAATAATACATCTTAAAAAAAAGAAAAAGAATGAATGGAGATTGTTGGAGAGCATAACTGAAAACGCTTTAGCTGTCCGGGCAGATGGTGGGCTTTCTCCTTTACAGGGATGTCGGCCATATTGGGCACACGGGAAAACCGTTCAATAGGACACAATGATACCTTCAAGTTCTATCGGAAATAACAAAACGTCGACATGACCAGGCGTGGGCTAGATAAAAGTTTGATTTGTCTTTTTTAATGACCAAATAATTGAATTATTCAGATTAAAAGACTCTTTATCTTGTTGCAGTACAAAATATACCACGGAGTAAGATATCCGTTACACATGAGTAGTTCACTGACAGACAAAAGTAATTACTTTGAAGTTATCCTCGGTGTGGTTATTTGCTGTACTTCTGTGAGCAAGCTAAAATTCTTTGGGTTTCGTACAGTTTGACAATTAGAAGAAGCAATTTGGTGATATCGCATTTTTAAAGAAACAAAGGCCAAACATTCAGAAAAATAATGGTCAGATTAATAATAATAATAATTATTATTATTATTATAACATAAGCGTCTTCAATCCTCATTATAGTATACACACACAAACAAACCGCGCTATTATATATATATAGTAACACTGGATAAGAATGGATATTTATATTATGCTGCCTCTCAAACTGTAGGTCGGATTGGCGTTTGAAGTTGGGATTTGCCGATGTTCGAGTCTAATCTGAGCAAGTGAAGGCAGCATGATTCCTTCTTTGGCCTCGTCTGTTCCTCGGTCCTAGTCCGGCTATTGTTGTGTGTCTTTCGTGGCAACCCTGACCTATCGGCAGGCGGTGATTTCTGATATTTTAAACTGCTTTGCTCAGCGCCTCCACCGCCATATTAAGTAGTCTTTGTCAGCTGGCGGCGTGTCCTCGCTTTGAGGGAATTTTAATTTTAAAAAAGGATCCCAGTGAAGGGCTCAGTGCTCGTGAAGTAGTTAATCGGTATGGGACAGACGGAAGACTGAGATTCCACGTTAGTAGAGTCTGCTCGTGTCGCCCGTTTCCACTTAAGGTTGTCGACGTGAAATTGAAAACGCTGGGGGGAAAAAGGCTCACAGGACGCATGTAGCCGACCCACCACACTGCTACGGTCGCTTTTGAGGTAAGAAACGCTCGCCAACAACTGACATTTTACGTTGGAAGTCGATTCAGCAGGGCCTCGTTGTGTTTGTGACACTTGGAGAAAGTTGGGAAGGGACCAGAGGAGTTTCCTCACTGTGTTACATTGTCGTAAAAGCATGTTTCATTATTAATCCGCGTTTAAGACCCCGGTGGGGTGGGGGTGGGGGGTCGGTCCTGTGTTGGAGAGGACAGCTGTTTGGAAAGGCTCCAAAACCGTCCTGGGACAAGACGAGAGCAGAGTTGTAGCTATGATGAGAGGTATTATTTATTCATTTACATCTTGGAAATCTTTATTTCAACTACATATTTTGGTTCTTTTCATACAATAAAAGTTTACCACCCTGTCCCTATCTCTGTGCCTCACCCAGTCTCCCTCTCCACACATGCATCAGCTGTTTTAGGCCTCAGCTGTGATAGGCCTTTTAATGCAAGGCACTCATCAGATTTTTCTAAATGGCCAGTGTTTTGATGCCAACTTTGCTCTTGCGTGCTTTTATTGTGATAGTGCAGCTCTGTTCCTCAGACTTATACACACGTGTGTAAGATTTTCAGGCATGCTGCTGTGTTGGATTGTGTATGTATCCTAACATTTACTGCCCCTGACTCTGCATGTGTCTGTCGGTGTGCTTATATACTCTGGTGCCACGGTAATCCCTCTGTTAGTACAGCCCCAGTTGGCTGGACAGTTGTGTCTCCTTCTCACACAGACACAAACACACACATATACACACACAGCTGGAATGGAGAGGGCAGTTGGTAGAGGAGTGAGGAGCACTAACAGGTGGTGTTGGCTGCGGTCCAGGAGCTTGAATTTTAACTGGGTTGAAGGATCCTTGCATACTCTTTGAGTGTCCTCATGGCACGAATGAGACTCTACACTGTCATTAAAGTTTGCTGATTAGAAGCCTCCAGTCTTTTGTGCCACAAGTGGAAAGGCTGAAGTCGTAAGGCAGCTCCACACATGTTGGCAATCTGAACAAATGTTTGGATTTTTGGTGAAAAATAAAAAAATAAAAGAGGAGAATTCACCGTGGGCAGAGGGAACAAGAAGAGCTCTTCTTTTTAATAGCTTGAAGATGGCTCTTTCTCTTTCCCAGCCTCACTCTAGCCTTTGACGGGCACAGCAGGTGGCCTCGACGGCATGAATGGATTCGGAAGGAAGTTCATCTCCTAGCTCCCCGACAGTCCCCTCCTCTCGCTGTGATTGGCAGAGATGGCAGGCTGCCCTGAAGATAAGACCGAGCTGGGCCTCAGAGAGTGTGCCAGGGCAATTACTGCGTTATGCTTTAGTAATGGGTTTTCAGGCCCTTGTATATTTTCATTGCTCAGTGCTTGTGGCTGGCGTTAAAAACCAAGGCGATTAACTTTAATATTATGCAATGGCTTTATCTTTATCAGAATGAGCAGTTTGGCTGTAGAAATAATGTTTACTTATGCATATTGCACATGCTCATTAATAACTTTTTTACGGTGCTGAAAAGATCAATGAAAAACAAATAAGCAAGGCTGGAGTGATTGATGAATTCATCTGAAGAATCTATAAAAAAATACTGAACGATTGCTGGTTTTCAAACTTTTCAGATGTGGGGTTTTTTTCTGCATTTGTCTCATTTACACCACTATGACTCAGTTTTTTCGATTTTTGTTTTCAGTGTCCAAAAAGTTCAAAAACAACTCATGTTTAAGGATTTCCAGCTGATCGGGTTAATCCACTACCTGGATCACATAACCATAAGGAAATTGGTGCACGTTTTCATCTATTCTTGGATATAGAGTATAAACATGCTTCTCTCTGTAATTGTACCTGCTCTAATAATCTGGCCCTCCAGGTATTTGAGTATTTCAATACAAAGGTTTTTCTTTATGCAATGTTCCAAATAGGGCTTCAGTCTATATTTGTCTCTATAAGTTGTGAAATAGTGGTCAGTACTGCTCTGTGCCAAGTTTCACTCTCTGGTCACTTCCATGTTATTGTTGTCAGATGACATTTGCAAACATTAATGCCTTTCTTTTATTTAAAATGAATAAATAAGTGTCCTTCCTGAGTTATGACCAGTTTGTTTAACCACGATCTCCATTAGCAGCATTAGATCCATTAGATCAGCCTCAGGTTAGCTATTTTTAGCTTAGCTATTTATCCTGGGGTCCCTACACACATAATCCAACAATCGCAACATGCAAACAAAACAAGCAGGTTCTTTGTATAAAAAGAACATTTTAATTTAAACAACTAACTTATATCTATTGCTTTGGTTCCAAGATCAGGGCTTTAAGTTTGCGTTCATATTCACACAGTATATTTACATCCTGTGTCCATCAGCTGTCTTCATTATCCATTTGTTAATACTGCTTTAACAGATATTTAAACTGATTTAACTTGTGAGAACATTGCCGTGCACATCATGCAGATTCATTTTGAGCTATTTGTAACTTATTTATTCCTTTTGTTGAAGCACTGGAACAGATCACACTAATGCATTTTATAACCTCGTGTCATTCATTTTAAAGCTCTTCTAATGACTGACAAACCTCCACCTGTTTTACTTACATTATTATCAGACTATGTTAATTTACAATCCACCATTATATCAAATAGTTTAGTTTTCTTCGATAGGAACATTCTTAACACTCAGGTGGTAACATTTAACACCAGTTTATTATCTGTCACACAATCTTCTACAGCCTTCAACTCCTCATTACGTGTTTCCTTTAACTTATCGGTTGACGCTATAAATAACTCTTGAGTCATCAGCATATATAGCAATCTGAGCCTATTTTAATAAGATCATTAATAAAAAGACAAAATAATAATGGTCCCAAACAGCTACCTTGGTTACTCCACACATTACATGTCTTGTCTTTGACGGACCATTAAATTAAATAATCTGCCTACAATTTCACAGACAAAAGTTATGTTATAGCTGAAATGAGTGTGCTGACCTGGAAGCAGTACATATGTTATCACTGCAAGATAACATCAAGTATTATTCAGGCATTTACAGCTACCATCTGAGCCTTTCAGTGACAAACACAGCACTTTTAGTCTGACATGGACAGTTGTCTAGTGGGATTACACTGCAGTCATTTTATAGTTACCCATTATAGCAATCTCAATCACTACCAATGCAAACAGTTGTGGTCCAACCAGATTGGAACCAGTTAGAAGAAACCTGGTTTATACAATGTTGATAAGCCTGTAAGCTACCAGAATACTTTGCCTTAAAAGCTGTCAGAAACAGAGACTGAACGATGAAAACCTTTGCTGATAGCTTTCCGTACTTGAGTGTTTTTTTTTATATAGACTTACACTCTATTCTGGCTTACATATTCTGACTTAATATACAAAGTCTTACACTCTGAAAAAATACATCCTCTGTTGAGCTCCGGTCTCTGGTATACACCCTACAAGCCCAGTCTGCGTCACAGAAATGTCCCAAGTGACTGCAAAGTTTGCGAAAGGCAGTTGTGTAAGGGTCAAAGTCTTCTCCAAAGTTGCGTCATTCGCGATCTGTCACCTCAGTAGCCAGAGTAAGGAGCTTCATCTCACAGGACATAATGCATGAATATCGCATTTATACAGAGCTGTACTGAACCATTTTTCTGAGAGCAGACATGCTGGAATTTGTTTTGTTTCTTTAAAAAAAAAAAAAAAAAAAAGCCCTCAAATAATTAAAACCAGTTTGTCCATTAGGATTGAGTTTGTTTTCTTTTCGTTTGACAGATCTGAGATTTAGCATGACGTTTTCTTTTCCCTGTTTTTGCTTAGTTACTCTGCTTACAGTTTCTGCCTGATATTTGCATCAAATTGCTGTACTGACTGTATAACTGGTTATCTCTTGTGTGGTAGCTCGCTGACTCGTGCCATTATAACAAGTATAAGGCTAACAGTTTGTAATGCTGGAATTTTTCTTAATTTGAATGTTGATGCATGCCAGCCGCAGCAAATAGCTTCCCGCCTGTAGTGCAGCTTCATTGTTGTATTTTCCCCTCTGGGAAGCAGCAGCCTGTGTCTCCTTAATCTGCATCAGCATCACTGGTAGTCTGGCACATAGCATTGCATGTCGCATGTCCCTGGATACAGTCTATTGCCAGCATTTGTTTGAACACATACCAGTCGCTGGGAGTAAAGTTATTCATAAATATGCGTGGGAGTATCTGGATAAGTATATTTCCCTTTCTTCTGTTATTCCACACAGTGGTGGTTGTTTGAAGTGCAATGCAACTAATCAGTATTGTCGTTCTTTATTATTGCACCATTTGTTTTCTAAATTAACATATTTTTCATTCCTGTAAATGGTCCGTTTGATCTGAAGGAAGATCAATAAAATTGAATGAACGTGAAGGGTTATGGTAAATATTAAAAAAAAAATACCATTCAATTAATGTTGTTGACCTAAGTGCATCAAAACTTCAAGCACTGCCATGGTAATCAATGTCCAAATCAGTGCTTCAGTTTTTTTGGGGTTTTTTTAATATATGTACTTTACTAAAGAAATCAAAGAGACCACAAAAGAACTCACAAAAAATCCTCGAACATGATTTATAATGCATCAACATTATTAAGGTCACTTTATTGATCATGTTTGACGCAAGCTGTGATGACACCACAGCTCAGTCACCACGTATACAGCCGCTGAGGGTGTGCCATACTCACTGTAGTGTTCTTCTGAGTGATGGGTGTCGCCACTCAGACTTCTATACAGCATAAGTGCTGGTCTAGGACAAGAAAATGTCAAAAAAGACAAGCAAAGAAAATCAGAATTTGTTTTTTTTTTTCCTTTAAAGAATTCTCCGGAAAGTCTGATCTTCTCTGGAAATCAGAGGTTCTGCGCTATCGCTGAGGTGGTGGTTTAAAAACAACACGACCAGCTGGAACAACAACAAAGCCTGGCACGCACCAGCGGATGTGGGGCCACCCTTTGTGGCGCTGTTTGGCAACATTAGTGGGTAGTTTATTTCAGACAACATTTAATGATAGGC